GTGTAATAGGGCCGTTTGAGTGCAGTCACTACTCTCGATAACCCGCTTCTCTCTATAATCTCCTTCTATCGGTTTTCTTGGCATTCAAGTAGGAACTGATTTGTTATTTCTTTAAATCAATTTCAGAATCTAAAGGGTTAATACAGCCGGTCACGGTAGCCGAGCGGTCTAAGGCATCTGCTGTTTTCGCTCGCTCGGAAGCCGGGATCGAGGGTTCGGATCCCACTCACAGTATGGATGTTAAGTGTTTGTGTGTGTGTGTGTTTTTCTGTGTTTGTGTACAGGTAGAGGCCTTGCGACAAGACTGATTACCCTCTCAAGGAGACCTACCGACTGTCCAAGATCTAGTAAACCTAAGTGAAACCGAGATTTTCATGGAGGCAGTTCATGTAGCTCGTCTGGTAGATTTTGGCAGCGTCATACAACACAGTACAAACGACTGGAAGCAAATACGAGTATATGAAATTGTGGTGGAGAAGGAAGTACACGGGCAGAGGGTAAGGGGAGATTTGGAGGAGCTCGATCTGTGGGACTTGATTCCGTGGCCTCAGTATAGCTGCAGACATACATCTGTCTGATTCTTTCAGTTGTGTGATGGTTCTTCGCCACTCCCACTGATGTTCAGATGCTATCAGCAGCTCAGCGGGAGTTCAAAGATTATCTAATGGATGACCTGAGCTTCTGCATGACATCAGTTTCCTGGAGAAAACTTAGACTCGATATTGCGAATGGTTGTCGCTCTTTAATTCGCTATAGTTGCATTGATACGCTTCAACATTCTGGAATTTTCTATCCCTTCAGTCAGAGTACACACTCTTTACAGTTTCCATTCTCACTAGTGACTAATCAGTGTGAAGACCATCACTGCTTCACTAATTCGCTATTGACCTTCCTTAACTATGCACAGCTCCTCTCTCACTCTCGTCCTAAACGGCGTCCCTATCATCCGTAAAACAGAACAGATCTTTTGGCAAAGTGACATTCATATTCTTGTCGAGCTCATTACTGAAGTGTAAACGTTCAGTCAGGATTACGGATTTATCTGAATGAGGGATTCTCCCCAGAAAATTCTTACTTTTATTTTTTCGTCCATTTTGTTACGCAAGCAAGTCTATAGAAACAAACACCTATTTACGAGAAGATAGCGTAAGAAGATGCTAGATGACCTTGGGGACAGAAGAGGATATTTTTATTTGAAGGAGAAAGCTCTAGATCGCATCAAGTGGAGGAACTGTTTTGGAAGAGCTGTGGACCTGTCGTCTTGACAGATTACTGATGATGATGAGCGTAGTTGGTTGAGGCACTATTCTACAAACCGGAACGCGAAGCTAATCAGTCACATCCATATGGTTCCCAGGTCGAGAATGTTAGAGATATCCCTCCACCGCCCATATATTTTCAAGCCGTGATGTTTAGTTAATTAAACAGAGGGACGTAATTACATTTTTATCAAATATGAATTTACACAATGTGTACTGTTAGTTCCTCGGAACTCTAGCCGTGGTAGAGGGGTCATACCATCTCTCGCGGAGATCAATCCAATCCATACCACCCATTCTATCTCTTTAAGATCCATTTTAATATTGTCCACCCACCTACGCCTTGGTCTTCCAGTGGTTTCTTTCCTTCTGGCTTTCCCACCAATATCCTATATACATTTCTATTCGCCCCCATTCGTGCTACATACCCTGCCCACCTCATCCTCCTTGAGTTGATCATTCTAATTATACTTGGAGAAGAGTACAAGTTATGAAGCTCCTCATTATGCAGGTATGTTTATATATATCATGTAATAACGAAATCACACAATAGGGAAATTTATTAGCGTATCACCGTCAGTTTCTTGTTGCATTCTCGTTAACACCCTTTCTGGGTCTCGCTCTGTCGTGAAGGGCATGGCGTGCTACATTGAATCGGCGAGTTGTGCCGACAATAGCACAGCTACTGGTATAGCGCAGTCCTCTCCTCAGAAAGAGAATTTCTATGGCGAGATGAAGAGTATCCCCCAACGAAGGCCACAGTGAAAGCAATATATCTAAGGGAAGTAACCCCCTTCCCCTTAAAGGATATCTTAGAAAGGTGGCAACCTCACCAACAGTATTTCCTTCCGCAACATTAGCAGCACTACTAGAGGTTTTCTTAAAGTTGTTTTGAGATGCTGTCAGCGTGGAAACTATACTATAACGTCGGTCATAGGGTCGTTATGAATGTGGAACAGCTGGTGTAATGAGAATTGGCAAGGGAAAGTGAAGTAAGTTGACATTGCTAAAGAAATGTATCGAAGTAAAACAAAAATTACAAGAAGGAAACAGTTTTTTATTTCAGTAAATAAATTATTGCACTAATAACATGCATATGAACTCCTACTGCATATACATTTCGAGGGAAAAAAATATTTCTTGCAACACTGCGTTCTTTTCGATTTATACCACACCCTGTTTAAGGTGACGAATTATATTGATATAAGTCAACAGTTCAACAGTTGCAATACATTTTATCGTTCTGTTTTGCCTGAAGTAGAGCAGCAGTGTTCAGTTCCTTCCAGCTTCCCGATTTCTCTGCTTTCATAATTATCTGGCGTTTATAGATTCTTCTAAATAAATATTGAATATGATTAAAAAATACCTGGTTGGAGGACGTCATCGTACTACGTCAGACGTAATATAATCCCGACACATGTGAAAGCTTCACAACTAATATATTGCGGAAGCATGATCTAAACGTATGTCTGCTTAAGAAGGCAAACTTTCCCTGTACTTAGTTATTTAAGCACTGTGCCATGAAAGAATATGGTGGAGTGGAGACATAGCTGCACCATTCTTGTGCCGAGATAGCATATAAAATATTGAAGTCATTCAAGAAAGGATTCCGTTAGCAATCCTTACGTAACAATATCGACACCGACAAACAAGGACTCGTCTAAAAGAATGTCTTCTTCTGGGATGTTGCGCCGTGTAGATATTGTGTAAATGCTTCGGAGGAACGTATCGCCTCCATCTTTAGGGTATACATATCCTCGAGCGAGGAACCAGCTTGAGCATGTTGCTGAAATCCAAACTCAGGTTTTTCGTGGTATCCCTCAGCAACTCCAAGCGTATTCCAGGATAGTGCATCAATTACGGCGAGACAGCTTCCTTTCATATTCTTCCGAGACTTTTCTCCAACGACCCTACTGTTCGACGCTACATAGTATAAGACAAGGATAACGTCATGAAATAATCAATCATAATAATAATAATGATACCGAGCTCAAGCGATTACTTTCCTTATTCTCACCGCGAGGGTATGAGTCTAATCTGAGGTCATTTCATGGCATATTTGTGGAGGACAACCAGAGCAGCTGTTCTCCAGTAATTCGCTTGCCCAGGCATTTCTCATTGCACCAGTACTACAGTTCTCTCGTGGGACAAGTTACAATTTATAGCATATGTAGGTCACCCCGCCTTAATATTATAGGAGAATACTGTGCCTGCTCTCGCCGTGTGTGTTCTGAAGCGTACAGCGATAGATGGCACTTCTGTGAAGATTACTGTATTCTAAGGTGACGCAGTGTAGTCTGGCAGAAACTTGCCAGCATTGCGAAAATATGTTGCCTCCATAGTTGTTAGGGGTGATAAAACTGTGACGGTGTTGAACATAGCGGCAGTATTTCGTCTGAAATTTCGGCAGATTTCTGAACACGCACTGACATCCTACACAACAGACGTCATCACCGACACAATTGCAAATCCCGGCATATGCTGCTCTCTTCTCCCGTAGCTCCTGCTCATGTCGACTGGCTTCCTCGGCTGCAACATATCTGTGGATCTGGTCAGTGCCACGGCGAGGAAGGGGAAGTCGCGAATTTTTTATTTTCCATATTTCAGGCTTAGCGTGTTGGCAGGTGCCCATGCATGATCAGACGTACCTTGTGAGGATTCGATTTGCATATAAATTTTTGTCGGACACTCCACGATAAGCTCTCTGGGGCCATGAATGTAACGTAATCCTATTGTTTTTTAAATTCCTTCATTCATATGGATGAATTAAAGCTCGCGGTTTTTGCCCTTCTTCAGTCACTTGCCTATTTCCAGTCAACGTAGATCATGATCTATTTTTGTAAAGGAGATAATATTTTCAAATATTTGTTTTGAGTCTCATGCAGATGGATTCTCTAGGCCAAAACGTGTATCAGAATTACGAGCAGTCAGTGTCAGTAGCTAATGATGACGCATCATCAGATATATTTTAAAGAGCTTTTTGTTAGAATTTAAGAAGAAAATTATACGTTTCATGTTCTAGTAGGATTTAAATAAAAGTTATGATGTGGTGGGCGTTAGGAATATGGGGACCGGAGGTGTGTCGGAGAGGAGCCTGTGGAGAGGTTTACGTTCAGATTTGTTAGAACATACGTTTGGAGAGTGGACACTAGCTGTGAGAAGTGGAGGAGTTTCACGAATAAACAGCTCTGAAGAAAATTGTAATTTGTGGGCACAAACTTCGGTTAATTATTTAGGTATCCACTTGTTCAAAAGTTGAGATACCTTTGAGAGTGTTGGTTAAAGGAATACATGTTTTATTTGTAGATAATAATTTTATTGATGGTGTAAGGGAGTCTATCTACCTTCTTGTTGCTCCCATTTGGAGCATAGGGCATCCGTGAAAAGCTTCATTTCGCTGCAGTTTCTTAATCTTAGACAGTTGGCAGGATTGCTTGGAGGGGGTCTAACCAGTCGCAAAGCGGCTACGTACACAGGGCAACACAAGCACAGAATAAACGCAGACAGACATCCATGTCTTGAGTGAGATTCGAACCCACGATCCCAGTGTCCGAACGTGCGAAGACATTTCATGCCTTATAGAGCGCGGTCTTCGCGATCGGCTGTAAGGGAGTAGATGTATGTAAATCTGTAGGTATGTACAGTCTATAAGGGGCCCCATTCCATACAAATCACAGATTATTTGCGGAGGGGCAATCCGGGTAGAATACTGTAATTAATGACATATGCCCTTCCTTCCAGATCCATGCGAGAACGTGAATTGTCCTCAGCCAGAGGTGTGCCAACTGGACGAACAGAGGAACCCTGTGTGCAGATGTGGGGACACTTGTTCTCTGGAATTCACACCGGTGTGCGGGTCTGACGGCAAGACGTACCAGAATGAGTGCAGCCTTAGACAGGAGGCCTGCAGGTCCAGGAAGAACCTCAGGATCATCTACCGAGGAAAATGCAGCTCAGGTGAGGCCTGTGTACCACTTATCGCTTCCGGAGATGGTGCTAGAATGAATTGTTCGGAAGGAAGTACTGTTCAGTGTTGGTGTATGGAAGGATATCCACAGAGTAACGTAAGTAAGGTAAAATAAAGTAAAGGGGTCCCTGTAACAGACCGTGGAGGCCCATAGGATTGTGAGATGTTGAGGTTCCTACATTCTCTAGACAGTCTAGACAGTCTAGACCCGCCCGCCGCCCTTTACCCCCCAAAATATTCCAAGAATATTCCTGCTACTTATTTCTGTTAGAAGCTGAATCGACCCCAGGGCCATAGTGCGGCTGGAAGGACTAGGTAAATAAAAAATCCAATGACCTCATCGGGATTCTATTCCGCGACCTTCCGGCTTGTAGCATAGTGCCTCAGCCAACCACAAGTAATCTACTTGAACCTGCACGAACATATAAAACTTAGCATTTCGTGAAATTCTCACGGAGGTGGTTATGAATATTGTTTCATCCTGATGCGTGACGCCTGGTAGAGCGATAGATGCTTACCAAAGTTTTGGGGGAAAATGGCGCATCAGTCTTCAGGACATAAGAGTAATCAGAGAGTGAAATGTTCGGTACGCATGTAGGGAATGAATGAATGTATAAGGGGTGGGCCTTCTTGGCCCTTGCACCGCGACCACAGTGATCTGTTGTGCCTCCCTTTCTGAGTATCCCCTCAGCAATCCTGCACTTCGAATGAAGAGTGGGATTTTGTACGTGGGGACGTCGAAATAGTCACTTGGTTCTATAAAATATTGACCCAAATAACGCAATCTTAAATAAGCTAAGGCCTCACATTCGCATAGGATGTGTGTATCTGTTTCATTTTCTTCTTGACACCTCTCACAAGCTGGCTATTACTTAGCCCCAGTTTGAAGAGGTGTCCTTTGAAGTGACAAGTGTCCTGTAAATAGTCCTACCACCCATCGTCGCTGGTTCCTGTTTAACTTCAACAGTTCCTTCGCTCTTTTAGTAGAGGGTCATCATATGAGTCCCTTTGCTTGCCTGAGTCCAGTCAAGTATCCCCAGTATTTCTTGTGATTCATATTTGTCCAGTCCCTGATTGCATTTCTGGCAACTCCTATAGAGATGCCACAGGCTGGTTCAGGTCCTATGAACGGATGTTCAGCTCCAACCTTGGCCAATTGATCTGCTATTTCGTTTCCAGCAACCTTCATGCCTCGGCACCCATATCAGTTGTACCCTGTTATGTTTGGCCAGTTTCATGAGGCCTTGGTGGCAATCCCAGATCAATTTTTAGTTGATCTGGTGTTTGTCAAGCACTTTAAGTGCAGCTTGGCTGTCAGATATAATGTAGATGTTCATATTTCTGTAGTTCCTATCTAGATTCTCCATAATACATGCCTTAATGGCATATACTTCGGCCTGGAATACTGTCATGTACTGCCCAAGGCTGAAACTAAGTTTCCGCCTCGTGCCATAGCAGAACACACCAGCTCCAGTGCCCTTATTTATCTTGGAACCATCTGTATACCAGATCAGTCCCCCTTTTCTATCGGGCCGAAACCCGTCTTCCCATTCACCCCTGTCAGGAAATCTGACTGTGAAGGGTTTTTCATATACATGTCTCGGTATCATTTTGTCAGACCCCATTTGTAATATGGGTTCTTTTTTCACGTCCTGAGTTATGTATGCATGTCCGAAACTATCGGATTTAGGTTTCCATTGATTACTGCACTGGAGACGGTAGATTCCTGCCCTGGCCTCTGTCTCCAACTGTAGATGCAGTGGGGGAGCCCAAGGAGTATTGGTAGAGCACATGTAGGAAAACATAAGGCTAGAACCCTGAGCGAACCAAAGGAGCAAGCGGTCCTTGAAAGAGATGGTTTCGCCAGAATAAAGAGATGTCAGAGAACGGCTCTGAGTGACCATTGGGTGCTTTGTGTAGGTCAGGAGTAAGGAAACATGGCCCTCAGGGGCCTGTCTGAACATAATGCCTAAACGAGGGACCACAGTGCGCACGCTGCGAGAGTCATCCATTCTTCTCAATACAAACATCAGCCCTTTGACAATGGCGTTATGAGGCTCTCACGGTAGTAGCTATGAAGATTGCTGCCCTGTGGGATGTAACGTCGTGTAGTTACGCTACTACACCGAAGGTGGAGGCATTAAGTTCATCGGAAACGACGACGTGCAGTAGTAGCATGTAATATATTAACATAGGAGATGATACGGTGCGGTAGTTTCAATAAGTTAAAAGTTGTCTGAGGATGGCCTTACAGGGTCGAAACATGTTGCAACAGTGAAATAAAATATTATTTTAATGATACTTTAAATTGGCATTTTAAAATAAAATTTTATGTTACATTACAGACGGAAACAAGTGGACGAGCGATTCATATGAATTCTTGGTAAATGTGTGTAGGTGTTGTTACATTACAGACGAGCCTTCTTGGCGGTGTTTCGGGAGATACATGTCAGAGTTTCTGCGGTGATATGCTGATGGCTTATTCAGTGTTCACTTTAAGTTGTATGCTTCGTGGGTTGTTTTGGCACCCGGGTTCTTTAACTGAACAATATGTCGTAATTATTAATTCTCATTGGATTTTTCTTTTGACCCAATCCTGCCAGACTCACTTTGGTCCTGGGATCGACTCAGCCTCTAACAGAAATGAGTACCGGGAATTTTTCTGGTGGTAAAGTGCGGCCGGAGCGTAAGGCTGACAACGTCACCGCACCATCTGTTAACCGATTGTCTAGAAAAGTGTGGGGGCCTCGACGGCCTGTCATAGGGATAACTTTACTTCACTATGCCACATCGATCATAAACTGAGTATAAAGAAGAATGGCTTTACGTCGGCAGGGATAGCTCAGTCGACATAGCAACTAGCTACAGGTTGGACAGCGGAAGAATCGGTGTTTGATTTCCAGTAAAGGCTAGAGATTTTTGCTTTCTGCACAGCATTCAGACCGTCTGTGCTTCCTCCTACCCACTGGATACAACGAAGCTGACAGGCCAGTTGTGTGCTGTTGATAATTTCTGTGGTGTGACGCGGAGTGTGTTACGTCAGCAAACGTCACTTTTCAGGAGAAAAGGAAAGACCTTTAGATGTCAAAGCAATATTGTAACAACTCAGTATTTCACTGTGCCACTGAATAGAACGTACTACGTTTAGAGATACAGGCTGTTTCTACTTCGTTCTTTTAATAAAGGATAGTTTTGTTGACTCATTTCTGACTTAACTGCCTTTCTATAACGACACATTTTATTCTATTTCTGTGATTTCCTACACCCGTACATGCTCCTGAGAGTAACGCTGTCCCACAGGTGTAAACCCCTGCGTGTCTCTGCTCTGTAAGAGTGGTGAGGAATGCGGCATCGACAAGTTCGGGATTGCGCACTGCGAGTGCCCGCCCCAGTGTGAACCTGTCATGAGACCAGTTTGTGGGCAGGACGGCCGCACTTACGAGTCCCAGTGCGAGATGAGGCGAGCCGCCTGCATGCAGAAGAAGCTCCTAGAAGTCAAGTATACAGGCTCTTGTGGTAAGCCAAGTATCAGTACACGGCACTTAGAATATTAAGGTGCTGATTTTTATAACAAGAACCACTCTGCAGGTTAGTCTAGCGCTAACACTACAGGTTTGTATCCGGTAGGTGCTAGGTTTGAATCTCCGTTGGGACACTGGATGTATTTACTGAGGTTTTCTTTATGGTTTTTCTCAGTCCTTGTAGGTAAATGCTAGGATAGTACAAGAACAGGCCTTTTACGCTTCTTTGCAAATGTTTTGCAATTCATAAGTCCGCAGTTGCCCTACAACTTGACGCTGTATGTCTAGATACCAACAGCTTTGTAAGATAATCTGCAAGGAAGAACAAGAACCAAAAGAGGACTGACGTCGTAAATTGGTAAGTAAATTACTGACTGCTGTCTGGATAGCCGGGGTCCTTCGCCATCAGATAGGCTCTTGACTCCACTCTGTACCGGCGATACCACGGCTAAGCATGAAATTATCATATAAGCCCGAATGTAAGGAGACCGTCTGCTTTCCCAATGAGAAAATCAGAAAAAAAAAATTGGCAAAATCGAATATGCCATTTAGTTCTGATAGTTATTAAGTAAAAAAGTAAAGATTATACGTACTATTAAGAAATAATACATTTGGAATTTAATTCCTTAAATAGAATTATAGGCATTTTTAGAAATATCACTGAAAATAAGGATTGGAACTCGTCACAATCATCTTCTCCATATTTATTCTTAAGGACCTGAAAATATCAAACCCTCATACTCAGGCTGATAACTTCATCACTTGTTTCCATGCTTCCTTTACACCTCCATGGCAGTGCATGAAGATATTAATGGTTCTGACGATGGTGTATAACACAGAATTACTGGGTTTGGGGACTTTTTCCATCGACCGGTATTCTAGAAACTAGAAAACACTTAACCAATTATTTATGTTAGCTCTTTATAAGGGACCCAACAGAGTATATGTCTTCCTCATCTCACCTGAGGGCGAAAACAGATTCAGTTTCCAGTTTCCTAACCGCCGTGTTTACTAGTTTCTAGAAAACCGGACAATGGAAAAAGTAAAAAAAAAAAAAATAATTTTGAGCTTTTCAAAGCCTTCATAGTATTTTTGTAAAATTAGCCATTGTTTTTCTAAGTGTATTTTCCAATTTCTTCTATATTTTTACACAATCAAATTTTTATATTAACCACCCCCTGCCTTTCATGACGGTCTTTTATTAGGCTACATTTGTTGTCACGAAGCAGCGAACGAGTTGCTTCATATTCGGAAAATCCGGGTTGGAACCTTGACGTTGAGACCAGTTAGTCTAACATCATTCGCGCTTTTCCACAGTCACCCTTTCCCCCCACCCCCGATGGAAATTATGTCGGAATAGAATCTCTTATTTGGCCACTGGCGCTTCGTTCCACATTCCCTCAGTTGAAAGTCAAAATTACCCAGCAAACTCTACTGAATATCGCTAATGCCGAAGTAAGGAAAGAGTGTTCAGTTGTTTTGCTTCTGATAACTGAATCAAGATGGACGGACAGATATGGTCTGCACATAAAGCGAACTCCTGTACTTTCCAACAAACTAACAAGGTGTGCAAAGAAGATATATATTAGGGATTTGAGGTTTTCTCAGGGCTCACAATGGAGATTGCTGTTGTCTGGGATGTGACACAGTGCAGTCTGGTACATCATCGCCAATGTTTCAGAGAAACCTTCAGCCTCCATCTCCCTACCCTGAAGCTGGAGGCAGCACATGTCTCCGAAGTACTGAATGATCAACCAGACTACACTGTGTCACACCCCAGAAGGTAATGAACTTCAGATGTATGTTCATGTCAGTATTTCTTCAACAGTAATTATGATTTCTACTGTTACAGCTGTAACATTAAAGGGGTTTGGGAGTTTTTGTGTCCTCATTGTGAGACATTGTGCGCCGGGAGCTTTTGCTCATGCGTTGCTGCTGCCTGGAGTAATTAATTATGAAATTAATCACTAGTCTCCCACCATACACCTGACAGAATGAGCATACATGACACAAAACCGCGAGCCATGGCCCACGCTATACAACAAGTTCACCCTCTCCCCTGCCCGTCCACGTCAGCTGGGGACCGCCGAAAATACTGTACGGCTATTTTTCAATCATAAAATTGGGCCTAACAATGGGATCAATTCATGTCAGATTTAATACAAAATGTATATGTAAATAACAAATCTATCAGCTTGATATAGCTGGAATATTCTACACTTTTACTCAAGAAGTACTTAGTTTGAATCTCGGTTTGACCACTGTCTTTCCTCACTGATGATTTTCATGTTTCCTCCACAAGCTCCTGGAAAATATCAGGATGGTACCTGAGCCATTATCACTTTCTTCCAATTCATTTCCATACTCGAAAAAAATTTAGTATTATGTGCTATATAGTTCCAGTTACTGACGGCACCATTAGATAAATGAGATAAGTAAATAAATTTCACGCCCCCACAGGTGCCACGGGCCCATGCAGGTCTCATGTTTGTGACTATGGTGCACAGTGTGTAGAACGAGGTGGTCGAGCAGAGTGTGACTGTCCAGTGTGTCCGGCCGAGTTTGACCCGGTGTGTGGGTCAGATGGGATCTCCTATGGCAACGAATGCAAGCTCAGGCTAGAAGCATGTCAGCATCACCGAGAAATCGCCATCCTGTACAAAGGCCTCTGCAGTAAGTTACTTCATATTGGAAACAAGAATTCTTTACAGGGGAGAAATGTTCTGGAAAGATGAAGTTTGCAAGAACCATCTATGGCAGATGAGTGTAAAGATGGAAACTGGATAAAACTCATGCAGGATTTTGTCCAGTAGCATGCTTTCCTTTCAACAATTTTGAGACTGTAAGAGCTGTACCAGAGGCTAGTAAGTATTGGTTAACTAGATACTTGGTTAAATTTTTACTGGTCTTATTAATACACATCTGTAATATTCTGATGGTAACACTCACTCATAACATATTGGATCATCTGCTTTCACGTGGTGGTTATTTAGAACTGGTTTACCTGTTTCTGTAGTTCATAGATAGCACAGAAAGAAAACATTGTCACTTAATTGTATTTTCACATAATTCGTATATAAATTGTATGAAGGGAAAGATATATATTAATAAAGCACACACGAAGAGAAATGCCCAGTGAGTCTACTTGTCTGTGTCTGCATTCTTGACTTGACAAACCACTGAAAGGAGATGTGACGCCATATTGCCTGGGAGATCATTACAGATCTTTCAGAGGAACGTACTGCTTTATCTTCAGAATAGAAGAGTGAAGCAAGTGTGAAATAAGAGTAAGCCTATGTAGGGACAGGGAGAACTTGGAAGAGGGGACCTTGACCAAACCTGTAGCTGTACAGAGAAGAGTGTAAAAGGATATTTGGCTCTTAAAGGGGTCTGTTTTCAAAGGTAGAGTAGCAGGGGGAAATAATGGCTCTGAGTGAAACAGTAACAGGTAGAGGGAAGTTAGGAGAAAAAGAGTAAGGAAGTAGTGGCCCTTTAAATGGCCCCTTTATTTCAAGGACAAGACAAAGATGAGAAAATACAGAACACTAACAGGGGCAGACTCAGAGGTTAGATTAGGGGGCAAAATAAAGAAGTAAGGGAGAGAAATGATGAACTAGATAAATGGCATGTGTAAGGGGAGAAGAAGAATATGGTCCTAACAAGGTGCTCTCAAAGGGGCAGCATTCGTTGGGTGTGAGAGCCTGCTTCAAGTACCAAACCATCAATTATAAATAGAACCTCCGTCGAGTGTAACAATATATATTCTTGTCACCATTTTCTCACATTTGCCTTACATGTTTCGGCTCACAAAGAGCCATCATCAGAGGCAACCACAACAAAAACATGGAAACACTTGCACTGCTCAACAGTCACAATATACAGTTTTTGTGGAAGATGTTACNAGCCCACACAACCTCGTGCTGACGCCTCCCCCATTGGGACTATCCACTAAGAGGAACCTGAATATTTTACTTGGACGGTTTTAACTTTAATTTTAACATTAACGACCCGCTTTGTGGGTGATATTTTAAATGCAAATGGGATACCCGCACTCGGGGTACTGGATGTTGTTGTGTTTTACGCTCCGATACGTGTAACATCTTCCACAAAAAAACTGTATATTGTGGCTGTTGAGCAGTGCAAGTGTTTCCATGTTTTTGTTGTGGTTGCCTCTGATGATGGCTCTTTGTGAGCCGAAACATGTAAGGCAAATGTGAGAAAAATGGTGACAAGAATATATATTGTTACACTCGACGGAGGTTCTATTTATAATTGGTGATTGATAGTGTAACGGACCAAAATGAAACAATTCAAAATACCAAACCATGTTCGTAAATAATGTACAGTTTGGCCCTGTACTTAACAACATTGCATAACTGTATTTTCTGCACAATGTATGTACCTGTGTTGCATAGCAGACCCCGTAGGAACAAGCAGTCATAATTGAACCTGACAGGCCCATGTCTTTCAAACCCCATAACTAAGGAGTAAGTGGAAGAAATTGAGACATTTTGTTCCAGAAAGAAGCACAGGCTGTATGCTAAATGCACCACTTCAAATTGTTTATATTTATATTTCTCAAGATTTCGGACCTTTGCAAAACGTGGAAAGACGTTTTTAAATTTCTCTCATTTATTTGTTTATTTCTGTTTTAAATCATCAGTTTTACCAATTTATTAGAGATGTCAAAAATGTGCATTCACCAAACAAAAATCTAAAGCTAATAACAGAGTGAATGCACCAGAAGTGTAACTATGCCTACGTGTCCTAAGCTGTTTTGTCATTCCAGATGGCTGTGAAAATAAGAAATGTGACCACTACTCCATCTGTGAGAGTGACGGCAGTGGCGCGGCCAAGTGTGTGTGCCCCGAAGCGTGTGTTGATGTGAGTTACATTTTATTTAACTAAGTCATTCATACTTCATATACTGTATGAATGAGGGAGCGTCATCATCAATTTATCGTCACGCCATTATTTGAAAGTTGTGGCATACACATCAGTAGGAAATTTGAAGTATACTTACACAAGGTTTTTCTTCTGGAAGGTTACATACACAAGATATGACATACCCTGGTTTTCAGAGTAGATGGACTGAGGAGGGGCGTGAATTTCATTGCTCAGGAAAGATATGTTGAAGAGAGGACCGAGCCAGTAGCGAACTGAATATGATGGACACACTTGGGATCTCCTAGGCTCAATCCTTACACTGAAGGCTCTCACTGAGATGCATCTTGGTTTTCTTGTCCATAAGGCCCCTTTCAGACAAGACACATGGTGGCTTGCGACTAGCGTTTGGAACACAGCCACCGAAGGCCACAACACGCCCACTTAGTGGCTCTGACGTCAGAACCCCACGTTGATGTTGCCCTCAGCCATTCAGATGGAGATATCAAAATGTTTATCCACCATTTCATGAATGACGCTAGACTCTGTATGTCCTGTCTGAACGCCAGCATACAACTCAATACACTTCGAGTGGCCAGACCGCAAGTCAGTGTCTCGGCCACTGAAAGGGAAAGACACAGCTGCGACGCAGTGTCTTGGACGTGGGACACAGACGCTAGTATTCACGCTAATTTGCAGTCGCTGGACACTGTGTGTCCAGCCACCGTGTGTCTTGTCTGAAAGCGGCCTAAAGGAAAATTCTGGAGCGGTGTTTCATAAAGAGGCCAGAAGAGCTTCATGCGTTCTGGTCCCCCTTCGTCATTCATGATCATTTTCATATAGTATTCGCCAAATGAGGTTTCTGCAGCTGAGAAAGTGTCATTCAATTAACATCAGAGCTGTAAAATATGGTGTAGTGTTTACAGTACAAAAATTTCCGCATGCCTACATAACATTCCATGTTCATTTAGTTATTACTTATGCACCGGCTCCTTCCTGGTACCCTGCACTTCTCACGTCCAAGACAGGAGCGGCGCAACGTCAGGGGCTCTCATGTTATGTTCACAATGCTCCCTAGATATAGTAGGGACTCCAAGCCACAGCAGGGAGACTCTTCCAATCGACAAGACTAGTTCACAATAATAAAATAATTTAATAATAGAAACACAGTAAAACAATACAACAATTAGAACTTAATAGAAGCCGTGGGCCCAAACACATACAGCCTTGACCACATCTGTCGGTTACCTTACGCTTGCCTTAACTGCGTCATCAGATTACACTTAATAGCCCACGCTCACTGCTCATTACTCTTGTTTACCATCATGCTACTTCAGCAAGCACAAAATAAACCTTAACTAATATTCCTTGCCCACAGGCGATTCCTGGAAAGAAACACAATGAAGTACAATTAACTTAAAGCCCGTCGCTGCTCACACAATTACCTATAACGCAAGCAAAACCCCCGACGTGCATTGCCAGCACACCCGCCCAGACACAATTTAGCATACCTGCCAAAACAGAATTTGAAAATACCCCAGGCTGGCAGCGTACGCCGATACGCTGTGGATCCACGCAGCGAATGAATCTTGATTCACTAACCGGCTTCTTCCGAGCCATATGAGTGGGAGAGGAAGCTGAATCCCACGTAATGCACTCCAGCACGGGATGAAGAGGTAGGGATTAACATGGCTGGAAGGCATGACGTCATCCAAGAGCCTTCAACATGGCTCACTTATTACACTGAATTTTCTACTCATAATAATTTTGAATCCACTGACCAAAATTACAAATTAAATTTCAGGTCATCTGTATACTTTCTTTGCGCCTATACTTGGACATATGGGGCATGACGTAATGTTCAGAATCTTATCGCGGAAAGTAATAGTTATTTGTTATGTGAATCATAATCAAAATATAAATACATTCTGTGTGCAAAATACGAAGGATCAGAATGTTATATAGTTGTCATTGTGTTATGAAGTATTAACTAACGGCAAGAGTCTGGGCTGTAATGGTATCAGTGTTTTGATTATAACAAGGAGAAAAGCATTCGCAGTCCATTGGTTGCCGAGATAATGGGACTGGAGGCAGTATTTGTCTCTCTGAACATAGGTATTTCCAGGCCAAACATGAACCCGAGACATATTACAATGGAACGGAAGCCACCCGGACCAGCACAGATTGTTCGCAATTCCGGGACTCTTGGAGGGTCATCTGAAGTGAAGGTGCATACCTGCAAACTAAATGCATGGGGGAATTTATGACAGGCAGGTTCTCATTGAACTGAAGCGAACGTGGTTTTGGAGTATACATTTTAATATACAGTAGTTGGGGTAACCTTGCAAAGATACCATCAATGTTGTCACTTGTTGTTCTTGCCATTACCATTAATAACATGTAATTATTGTTTACTGCTACATGTCAACTTTCCCTCTCAGTTTTTGGTATATTTCGTAAGAAACGGAAGTTTCTTGACTTCAAAAAGTGTTGTAGTAATGCATCTAACGTCGTGAAGTTCGCCTCAGTATGTTTTGATGTCGAGCCCCGTGTGCAGCTCGATACCAAGACAGACAGACAGACAGACAGACAGACAGACTGACCGACTCACTGACTGACCATCGGACGCAACTTGACTTTGATTTTGACTTCGACTCCGACTTGAAGTTCCATAGTTCAGCAACATTTCGGAGGAATGCAAGGGTCGAAGAGTAAGTCAAGCTGCACTTCTCTTTATTTCTCTCTCATCACTTTCATAGCTTACTCCTCGAACGTGAACATGGAGTCAGTATGTTTCTCCGAAAGACCGGTAAAAGTCAACCTGACTACACTTTGCAGTATCTCGGAATATAATAAATACTCTTCACTGTAACCCTTCTGGAAGCTCAGATATTTTCCTTGAATTTGTTCATCGTTCGAAATTCTGAACCGGAAAACAGCATTCTGGAAAGCGGGTGTGATCCAGCCCTCAGGTGTAGGGCATCCACTTACGTGATCCGATAGAAATCTCTAGTCATAATCGCTGGACAACCCAGTCAATGGAACAATGCTCTATCAGCCGCACAGAACAAGGTAGTAATATTAAGCTTGATAGTGGTCAGGGTAACAAGTGCAATACACAGTCGTTGAAACCCTTCAGAACTAATAAAAATGGATGTTATCGAAATGCAGGTGTCGACTATTGCACTGAATTGAATCAGGTTAGGTTTCAGTGTCAAGCTTCTTTGCACACGATAATTAATATTTGCTTTCCATGGAAGTGGAATTTATTGAACAAGTGAGTCATCTTCTGAAGGTATTATGTGTGACATACAGTGTATGACATAAAATTAACGTGACGATAAGTGCGACTGAAAATGACAGCGTAGCTGTAGACTCGCTGTAGATTATTATTCGGAATATATTCGGTTCGATTCGTGGTTAGGACATTGGTTATTCTTCTATGTCTCTCGTGGTATTGCTCAGTTATTTCGAGCATATGCCAGAATAGTACCATGATTAGGTCAGTGTCGCTTCTTTTCAGATCTTCTCCAATTTATAATCCGTCAGTCATTCTACCATTCGAAGCTAAGAGCTGTAGTTTCTTACACTGTTGGTGTCGTTAAATGGACCATAAATAAGTAAATAAATATAAGTCAATGATGACTGAAGCAGATGGTGTGGGCTTGTCAATTATATGCAGAAAGTGATGAATTCTATGAAGGAATTCAGTGAGTCTACAACAGGAATTCGAAACACACTACTTGCCGAATTTAAATCACTCGTAGCAGCCAGTTTAGAATGTACCTACGCCATACTAATCTCAGTATACTGGTTTATACTGCTGTAATAACGACTTAGACCGAGCAAATTATCTGAAAATATAACGTTTCTGAATTGTATTTGGAAACTTTTCAGTTCGTATCTTTGTATGGGCTCTCAACTCTCCTAACTGAGGTTCTCGTAGTCCCTTCAGACAAATTCCGGAATATTACCTCAAAATTAGGCCATGATCGCTCCCCTCCACATCCCTCCCAATTCATTATTCACTATAATTCAGTCATTCAGTGTTACAAACTTGAGTTACTGGCAGTGTCATTAAATAAACTGTAAGTTGATAAATTAACTATTTAGTCAAGTCAGAGTCAAAGTCACATTGCGGTTGATGGTCAGTCAGTCGGGAAGTCTTGGTGTCAAGCCCATCTGGTGCTCATGACCAGATATTAATTATTACCGTTTGAAAGTCACGGTCTTGTTTCTGTGGGCGCCTTCTCTGACAAGAGGACGGGTCTGCCTTTTGTATATGCTGCTGGTCCTTGCCAGCGCAGTCTTTCTTGGGTCCGAGTCCCTTGGGGATCGCGACCATATTTTACTTCCATTTTCGTCGTCTCCTACGACTCGCAGGGTCACGGTGGAGGTATTCGACCCCGCCTCCACACGGGGTTAACTATTTAGTATTAGCTGCATCGATTATTAAATCACGAGATGATGACCTCACGGAAAACACCTATTATTGGAGACGTGTTTACACTTCCGTTGCTTAGAAACGGATTGCATAACACCGTTGTTCTACTGTTGCTTGTTGCGGACGACTACAAAACGCAACCTCCTCTATTGTTGCGTAACCTAATTGCGGGCTGTCTTCGCGGGAACTCACCAACTTGTTGCCTAGCAATGGGTGTACATGTAACAGTATGAAGAAAGAATGGTACCATTTGTCGGCGACGTTGTATAACTTTCTTTACCTGGAGAAAACGTTTCATTCAAGTGGTTAAATACCTAGTTTCAAATCTTGAAACTCTCGTATTGATAACACGTGACTTGGATATGCTGCGTTACGTCTCGAAAGGCCCATGGATACTTACACAGATAGATGTTTCTTAATTCTGAGGGTTTTGTAAAGGCGCTTGTCAGTTGTTTTGAAATCCCACTAACATTTCGTGTGTGTATACTAATCCATTCCTTCAGCCTCGTTACTAGAATGGGAAATGTCATATGATACGTGTGCGAGCTAGCAAGCACCAAAAAGAACGTAATAATTTGCAACAACTGCACGTATACCGGCTTTTGTTTTCAGCACGAAAGACAATTGAAATTCGAAGAACGAACGTGACTTTCTTATACCATGAAATCGATTTTTCATCCCGGCGAGAAAAGTTTGCAGAAATTCCCTCTAACGGAGGAAATAGCGCAAAGACCACAATTTATCCTTAGACGCTGGTTCCTAAACTGTGCACCGAGATATCCCAAGCAGTATTACTTATTTATGTGGTTATGTATTTATTCTTGGTTAATTTAACGAAACTTCCATTAGCACAGCTATGACAAGGTTTCGAAAGCTTAATCCTACATATACAGAACTCTATCTCGAGATGTGATACAGAAGGAGACTGCATGTGGTCCTCGAGGGTTAGCTGTATAACCATCACACTTGTTCCTTCTGCCCCACAAGGTGCGCTCACCCGCCTGTGGGACGGATGGTGTGACTTACAAGAACGAGTGTGAGATGCGTGTTGCAGCCTGCAAGAGTAAGCAGTTCGTTATGGTGGCGTATAAGGGCGACTGCGGTGAGTAATCTGTATCGTGTATTCAACTCTAAGGGCGGAGGCACACCGAGGAAACTGGCAACCGCAACGCAACCTCAATTTCCGAGAATTGTAATCAGCCTAAGTTGAACACGTGTTACTGAATTGAGCAGCACGAATTGAGGAAACGGCAACGAAGCAAACCAGTCTTCTCACAATTGCGTTGCCGCATAGTTCCCTAGTGTCAGCTATTCTATACCGCGCTTCAATGATTCATTTGTTTCTTAAGATGGCGCGTAAGGTTGGCGAAGTTGCTAATTTTGTTTTTGTGCAGTTAATTGAGCAAGAGCGTGGTATATAACAAATACCACCCAGACTATTCTAGGCATGATAAAATAGATTGGCTTGGAAAGAATTTCTCATGAGACAAAGGAGTCAAGATCCAGGTTAAGTTCTTTCAAAACTGCAGGAGCGCCTCAGTTTAAATTAGACTGACCCTTATGATGATTTGATGTATTGTAAATAATAAACCTTTTCCTTTCAGATCTTCATTTATAATAATAGGCAGAGACAGCGACTATATGTCAGTGAAGAAAAAATGTGTAACAAAGGGCTTCATTATTGTACTCTCCAACTAATGTTAATCTACTTCTCAAAAGCAGAGCTATTAAACTGAGAAGCGGGAGTTAGGCATAACATTCATGTGTTGTAAGAATATGCAGTTTGGAGAGAACACGGCTTGACACCAGATTCTGATGGTTTCTAGATTTGTTTACCTTTTTTCCCTAAAGCAGAGACGACATATTCTTCCGAAATGTCGATCTGTCCCCAAACTACACGATATTACAACCCAAAGATGGAACAACTTTAGTTGATAAAGCCTTATTATTATATATTTTTCAGACTTGTGCCAGGGGGTGGAGTGCCAGTGGGGTGCAAGGTGTGAGGCTGGAGAATGTGTGTGTCCCACAAACTGTGGTAACTCAGCTGGTATCCACATGTCTGAGCCTGTCTGTGCTTCCAATATGGTGACATATCCTAATGAGTGTGAACTTCAGCGTGCATCCTGCAACCAGCCACCTGGCATCCCCCCACTTACTGTCATATTCTACGGGGATTGCCGTGAGAAGAATGCTGTTCCTGCAAGTATGTTGCATGCATTTCATGGAGAGGGTGACTATATATTATTGCTTTTAGTTCTTCAATTTATATGCATGATTAAGCTACATGCCAATTGCTGGTTATTAATTCAGAAGTGTTTTGTCAAAAATGATATAATCAGTAGCTTTTATATGCAAGGTGATTCATAATATTATATAAATCTTTTGGAGGTTGCTCGAAAGCAATTCCTAGTCAGAAATGTCCTTTATATATGAGTCCCATTATCAGTGGTTTCTGATATATGGATACTTGAAATTAAGGTCACGTTGTGTTAGTAGTAACACGAATGTAAAAGTATACAACATACACTATACATGATAACAGAAGATGCTGACATCATGATCTGTTACATTTCGATTAAATATTTATTTAAATATGTGTAAACCTATACATTTAGGTGGAAGAAACTTCAATTAATGTTGATAATAGAGACATCAGCAATCTTCACCTGTATGTTTAAGACCATTGCTGAGTGCTGAATATACAAGTTATGAAATGTACACATAGCTTCATTTGTATTTAATTATTTCAAAAACAAACTTATAGAGTAAAATGTATATATCAGTTTACCGTACAATGTTGGCTCAAAACATTTCTTTCTTGAAGTTCAATGGACTAAGCTCAAGATATACACAGATGTGCTTGTAGGTCATCATATAAAAGTCCGTTATTTTGTCACATTTTGCACCAAAACTGAAATGTAATGTTAAATTTAATTAAATCTCTCTAATTTCATGAAAATCAGTTCATTGGTTCTCAAGTTGTTTCATGCATACAGACAAGGAAATGGATGGGCAAAGTGAGCAAATAGGTGCTCCACAAGGTTGCAAACACGGTTACAAATGCGTGACTGATATTATGAGCTCTATATTTGATTAGTTTGATTTATTAAGCATCTCTATTACAATTTCACTTGATTAAAATAGTTCACACATTTGACTCCTTCTGGATAACGAATCTCTCACTGTTATCTGGATCTTTCACTAGCCTCTAGTCTTCTCTTCTTTTTCCTTCTTTATTCTTCTGTCATACTCTGTCTTTTGTCTCCTCGATTTGATGTCTAATATATATAGTTTATACACCTACTATCACTTAGTGCTACTTTTGCTCTGAATGTTGTAGGAATTCACTGTGACAGAAGTGAATGTCTTAAAACTGCTGACAGATCTGCACATTCACAGTATGGGACTGACACATATATATATACAGGGTGTTTCACGACTTTAGGGCATAACTGCAGGAGGTGATTTCCTAGGTCTTTGTGATCAAGAAAGTTCATATAAACATGTGTCCGATTTTGGATGGTTACGGAGTTATGACCATTTTAAACTCAGAATAGAGGGTAACGATTACTGACAATAAACGGAACAAAATAATAAACCAGCATAATACATGATACATTTAAAGTATGAATGTAAAGTTAACTTCGTGAAATTTCCTTTAATTTGAATTTATTGGTGCTTAAAGCTGATTTTCGAAAATGCAACCGCCGGCCGCAACGCAGGCTGCCGCTTGGTTGTGAACTGCGCCGGACATACCAACCCTCCCCGCCTTAGGTACTACATCTCAAGTGTCGAGATAACGAGAACGCTCTGTCTGTAGCTGGCTAAAAATAGCGACCTGACAGCTGACAGACGCGGTTCACACGAGGGTGAGTACGGCAATTAAAAAACGGTCATAACTCCGTAATTGTCCAAAATCGGACACATGTTTATATGAACTTTTTTGATCACAAAGACCTAGGAAATCACCTCCTGCAGTTATGCCCTAAAGTCGTGAAACTCCGTGTGTGTGTGTGTGTGTGTGTGTGTGTGTGTGTGTGTATATATATATAGGCGTTACGATTTGACAAGAAATGAATAATGATCTGACCCATAAATGTATGTGCAGACTTGATCAAAGATATGAAAGACATATTTGTAAGAAATTAATGAGGAGTTTGTATTCTGTATTACGAAGATCATATAATTTCTTACCATAGACACAAGGCTCACCAAAATGTTCAAAACATGTATTTTGCTAGAAGTATTTCTTAATTTGTATTCCTAATACCCATATTTTACAAACAGTCTGTGCTTATTTGAAACATTTACTCTTTAATTAACTACTTCAGACTAATTATACCTTTATTTTAAATTTTCATACTAAAGTATTAACCCACTAATCTCCTCCACAGCCGCTCCGACTTTGCCATCATCAAGGCAAGGCCAGGGTCAAGGCCACCAAGTGACCTCCATCACCATACGCCCACAAGTAACTTTACCAAACAGTAACAGTAACATTCATACAAATGCCATCACTAACAATGGTAACAGAAGTTCTGTGAGCAGTAATAGTGTCAGTGAAGCATGCCGTGACATTCATTGTGACTTTGATGCAACCTGTGAACTGGGACCTGATAACTTCCCACGTTGCTCTTGTCAATTTGACTGTGCATCAGCCATGGGTGAAGGAGGAGGGAAACCGGTGTGTGCATCAGATATGAGGATGTACCCATCTATATGTGTGATGAAGATGGAGGGGTGCCAGAGGCAGGAGGAACTGCGGCTGCGGCCACTGGATCTGTGTGAAGGTGTGGAGTGGAATGTTGCATGAATTTCTATCCCCTGCATGCCTGTTTGAGTCGCATTTATTGATGTGCATCATAAGATCTGTTGCCCTTTGTAGCAGTTAGTGAGTAAAAACTTGATCCCTTAGTGACATGACATGCTCAATGTAAGACTTGAACAAATTTCCAACGAAAATAACAGCCACCTCCAGAAGCTCTGATACATATTAAAAAGCACAATAACTCAGTGAGAAAAATCAACTTGTTCTTATTCACAAAAGAACAGTTGCAAAATCTACACATAAATTAGCAAGTCCATCTTACTTGGAGAGAACCAAGCTTGGCATTGGTAGTGTGCAGGGAAAACAAACTACTTTCAGTCATTTGTCAGATTCATGGGGAGAAAGGACAAATAAAGAGGAGAAACAAGATGGTGGTACTAAAGGTACAGACTAAGAGAAAGACAAAGCGAGGAAACAGTTTTAATGTCAAGTAGAGGGAGAAAAGAAGGGGCAGATGAATGATGATAGGATGGAAAAATAAAGGCACTGCAAAGATACAAAGAAAAATGGAGGAAAAGAGATAAGATTACTAAAGAACAAGGGAATGGAAGAAGCACTATATGGAAGTTACTTGAGACACTAACACAAATCATTCAGTTAGTCCAGTTGAAGGGACACATATCCCCTCACATCAAAATTACCGTGCATATCTGGACATGAAGCATAATCAAAAAGCCCATTAGCCAACAGATTGGGGACAGAACCCACTCAGATCACAGCAGATGCTGGAAACTGTAGAAGAGAGAACAGTTGTTGTTTTCCCATGTGGCTTACTTTTGTATCCTGAAGAAAGAGGCAGCAAGTTTCTCCAAAATTCTGGTTAATAACTCATTGCCTGTAGAAGAATTGAATTCTTCTCTAACACAGTAATCTTCATGTTCACTGCCGTGAGAACATCGAAAATTTCCTATCACTTCTTATCTCATCTTGTAACTTACTTTCTCCCTTTCTATTCTCTCTTGAACTTTTATTCACTGTATTGGAATGTATGAAATTATATTGGCTCCAAATAGAACACGCATGATATATGTATCCTTAGTTTCAATCTCTATTGTTCCAGTGGACATAAAATGTCAAGTGATCATCTGAAAATAAGATCTAAAAGTTTGTAACATGGTATATTAATACAATTATTGTGTTTCTGAACAATGTCCGTCATCCTGTTTTTTATTAAAAACAATTGTCCAAAGACAGGGACTAGCTCTATCATTTGGGCCCACCTGAGTAAGTTTTTATCTGAAGATGGAGACAGAATCCAGTCTCTGAAAAGTTATTTTAAATAAAAAGGGATGATGGATAATGTTCCAAACACAATAACTGATTCATATGGAACATCATCCGTTATGTAAACTAACTTACTGCATGGCACAAATCTTTCTTGGGAGCTAGTAGTTGTTCAGTTAGCCAAGAAATTCACTTTGCTGTATGGAAGGTTCATTACCATATTCACAAGAGCCTACAACTAGTCCCAATCCTAAGCCAGATGACTCCAATCCCTCCTATCCTACTTTTCAAGAATCCATCTTAATATTATCTCTTCTGTGCCAAGAGCTTCCAAATGCCTAATTGATGCACTATACCTGTATTCTCTGAATGGACAGAAAGACCTCAGTTAGGGCAGCCATTTCCCCACCCAAGATTTACGCCAGTCTACTTTCAAATGTAAACATGACAATTTTCCATGTACCATCCAACTTAGTGTTATTCAATGAGGCACCCATCTGCAGGGTAATCAAAGTGCCACTCATTAAGTTATACACCCAACACCACTGATAAGTAGATGAATTTCTTTGCATGGTAGAACACAGAAAACAGCATCAGCACTTGTAGTAATCTGTGTGGCTCTAGTTCTGCTTGATTTCCTCCCTACACAGACCTTTTTTATAAATGTTGCCACATTCTTATTATTTCTTTGTGAAGTTGAATAACAAAGAGTGTTTGATAGGAATATGTTCTGGGGCCCATTCAGCCTCCTGTCCAAATGGTATGAATGCAAAGCAGCCAGGGAATTAGGCCAACCACTCACCTCCATCCCATGCACAGATTAAAGAATGGAGTTAACCCTCCTCTTCCTCACACGTCTTCCTGACGTGTTTAATTAACCACAGGGACAACTTTACCTTAACTTTTACCAAGTCACTATGATGTCAGTCAAAATAAACTAAAAATTTTGGATGTTTTTAAAATGTGTTGGTGAAACCAACGATCATAGTAAATCCACAAACATTGTATGAGTGAACTAATGGAAGGAATTAATGTGATCCGCCCTGAAAGCTGAAGCCATGCGCTAATGGAAGAAAGACAACTCAGCAAGACCAATTGATAGGATTTAATAAACAGAAAACGAAAATCCAGTATTTAAAATGATAAATAATACACTGACTTTGTTTAGGTAGGATATAATTTTGGTTTTAACGCATTTCTATTTTAATATAAATGTTATATGAACTTCTGCTGGATTCAAGTAACCTGATATATAGATGGTTCTTTCTCTGCTTTGTATGTCATTGAAGAGGGGCACACTCCAAGTCTGAGCATATTTCATCACATTCAGTTAAACACATAACATTACACACTGATTTGCACAGGTATGAAAGTCAAGCCTTGCAATGGAGGGCTCCCACTGGCTGACCCAGACACAAGACGAGAGTATGACTGTGGGAGTGGGCCCAACAGACAAGACTGTCCTTCAGGGAGCTACTGTCACCAAACCCCTCACTTTGCACGCTGTTGTGAGAAAGGTAAGCTCCCTTCCTTCCATTCAAATGTTCATACCCCTCTCTCTTTCATTGAGGATTTGAATTAACAGTTTACTTTGTCATTATATTAACAAGCATTGCAATGATTGTGGCCTTCGGGGTTGTAACACCATGTAGTTTTGTCAGTGGATACCAGTATTTTGGGGGAACATGATACCTTCATCTCCAGAGTTGAAGTGTGTAGGTTCTTACATAGGGGGAAATTACAGGGAGGATGCTCATGACCCCCAAGGGGAAGGGGTAAAGAAAGGAACCCAGTGACAAAAATTGACAGTTTTAGGTCACTGGTGTGAAAACCACAAAACTTATATAAGCATATAGTAGTAGTGATTACATCTACATCTGTCCATTTATACATCATATATTCTGATATGTTCTTTCAGAATGAAAAATTCATTTTTATCGAAGTATTTTATAATCTGTATGTCCAGCATTGTATTTTTCTTCTTTATAATTCAACTGCATGTTGATATAATTAATTCCATGGCTCAGAATCCTTGAGAAGCTAACGGTCACTCAGTTATCAAAAATTATCCATGCGTAATCTAATGGTTCATTACTACATTCACAAGAGCCCATCACTGGACCCTATCCTGAGCCAGAAAACAGTCACATTCTCACAACATGCTTTTGTATTATGGGTTTTAATATTCTCTGACCCATGCCTAGATCACCCTTCTCTTTTCAGGTTTTCCAATCAAAACTGAGATGCACATCTAATCCCCCTACATCCTCCTCTCATCTCATCTTATTAATATTTGGTAAGGCACACAAATTATGAAGTTTTCATTAATCAATTCTGCCCACCGTGCTGTTACTTCCATTCTCTTAGGCATAAATATTCTCCTCAGCACTTTATTCTCATAACCCCTTGGAATGGACCCCATGGAAAGTGCAGTCTGTGTTGTTAAGGAGACGTGTTTACTGGTCCATTATATAGCAATGGATGTCCTATTTTCACGTGATCATGTGTTGAGGGTATGTGCTTACCAAACCATTGCCTAGCAATGGGTATACACATTACACTAACATAACCTAACTGCTGTCTTAATCCAGAGAATACTTCTTAAGTTGACATTATTCCAGACACATTTGTAAACAAAGACAAGCAGACCTTCTGCATCTAGTTGCCACTGTTTTCATTTGCAATGTCTTACGATTCTTGCTCTCAGGTAAGCATTTTCCTCATTCGCTCTCATTCAGTCACACCTGGAAATTCAGATCAGGTTTATTATGTTTATTGGGAATCCGTCTTTCTTCTTCATGTTTAACAATGGATTGTGCCATCTCTCTCATCACCTTAGATCTTAACCTTTTGCATGCCATGAGCTGATTAGTTCAGTTTGGTATATATGTGTTGAAACTGCCACATTCAAAGAGATATGTATAGTGTTAACCGCTTAGTACAACATTTCTGTCAATAGATGACACCAAGTGTGATATACCAGTGTTAGAGGAAAAACAGGCTTTCACATAATCTGTACCTGTGTTCACTTGAAGATCATCAGAGGAAGTATTGTGGAGTCTTCCGTACAAAAGTGTATTTGCAGCCAAGCAGCACTGATGTTTCTAGCAGGCAGTTGATGGGGTTTTCAGTCAGAAGTTTGAGAAGAAAGTACTGATTATGGTTCCAAGCAGTCCCATTTTCCAGATGACAGCCCTGATTGTACTGAGTTTTTCAAGTTATTCTAACTGGGATGCTACTCATTATTAGTGTGTTCATATCAAGGACATTGAGATGGGCAAGACATGGCACACACATGAGCAGTCAGAAATGTATACAAAATTTTGATCAGAAAACTTGAAGGAACAAGATCGGTCAGAAGACATAGTATACATTGAAGGATATTCTTAAAATGGACCTCAGAGAAATAGGGTAGGAACATGTGGCCAAAATTCATGTGGCTCATTGTAGAAAGCGGTGACATGCTGCTTGAATACTGTAATGAATCTTCAGGTTCCATAAAGTGTGAGAAAATTATTAAGCAGCTCTGCAGCTTTTATCTTCTTGCAAATAACTGTGCTCCATGAAGTTAGTTCTAACTGTGATGATGCCCTATCTTGGTTATGTGTGCATCATGTTATTCAATATCATTAACCATCTGTCAAGAACTTATTGCGTTAGATGTACATATATTCATGTATGCTACACTGTAACACTGTCACACCTTTTAAGAAATAAATCTGCCTGAAATGTTCTTACATACATTAGCAATGACATGCAGGCTGCAATTTGCTATGGTTTTGCACAAGGTCAGGCTGTATTAATCAATATGAGTGATAGCTGTAAGGAGAAGAAATTATGAATAATTTTTGCATGTATGAAATTTGAGGTTTTCATGGTGATGATTCATACTGTAACCTTGGCTATAACATCATATAGGGTAGATGCTGCTGCAGTTCCGGTGCTAGTCACCAGCTTCTCACCATCTTGACCCAGCTACATTACCAGTATAGTCCATCTGGAATTTATGGTTAACAAAGTGACATTCAGACAGGTTCTTGTGTGAGCATTTTGTTTCTCTTGCTGTCATTCAACCAACTTTGTGTAATCATCTTTCTTCTAGTACTGGTACAATATACTCATTTGAGACCACCATACCAAGTGACTCAGACTCAACTACTTTTAAAATAAAAAATATACTGTCATAGATAGGTACAGACATTTCAAAGGAATGTTGGAACCTACCTGTCAGATATGTATGTTGTCATTACCCAGAGGACTGCAATCTGAATAACCTACCATATTTATGCATGTATAGGCCGCACATTTTTTGCCAAAAATTCAAGAGGAAAACTGGGGTGCGGCTTATATTCGAAATATTCGAAATCACACTTCATTTAAAAAAAATTGTATTCATAATTAGTAATACAGGGTGTAATACTCCTGAAATAATATTCCAAGAAAATTATTTTTTCTATAATTTCTGTCTGAAAATTGTGCTGCGGCCTATACATGCATAAATACGGTATATCTCAGTCAAAACAGTTCATGGTAACAGGAACATCAGATATAATATTTCTCTCTGAGGTGATCCCTCCTCCTTTCCTGACATTCAGTGTAGCTCTTACGTCTCTGTATAAGCATTTCAGCACTATATCTGTTCTGAATGTTGCATGTGTTATGCAGACCTGAATGCCAACCACAAAAGCTGTGAAGACTCTTGGTATGGCTGCTGCCCTGATGGAAAGACAGCTGCCTTGGGGTCAGACAATGCTGGTTGTCCATCCATGTGTGGATGTAATAAGCTTGGTAAGCCTTCACTTCTCTCATATTATTTTATGTGCCTGTAACTGTTCTTGAGTATCTCATCTCTACTGACTCTATCTATTCATATCGCTCACTTCCGTCATCCAAAAATTAATTTCCATATAGGAGAGTCATGTTGAATGTGCTGTTTTGAGAGAAATAATGAATTTAAGTTACCATAACTACCGTGCGCAGACTGGATCTGTACCACTGTCTCCTCTTGCAGGATCCTACTCAGACACTTGTGATCCTATAACTCAGCAGTGTTCTTGCAAACCGGGTGTAGGAGGACTCAAGTGTGATCGATGTGAACCAGGATTCTGGGGACTTCCCAAAATATCTGAGGGATACCAAGGATGCATCCGTGAGTATAAAGACTACACAGCAGAAGCAAATGTTTAGCGTATTGATTGGTATTACTTCACCTTGAAAACATCTCCAGGTCAAACCTTGTTCAATGTCTCAACTGCTCTGTCTCCAGCCCCTTTCCCCACTCTGTTGAGGCAAACACTTAGTACCTTAACATAAGCTATAATAATTTTTTATGTGTCATTCATTACAATTACCTTTTTCTTTTGTGATTTATTTTATGACTTCCACTATTCAGACAATATATACCGTCAAATGGGAGAGCGGGTAGTGAGTAATAAATAGGAAATGAACTGAAAGGAAGTAGTTTTGGCACTGTCAAGGTAACTTATGTAACAGGAAAGTAGATGTTATGAGTTCTGCTCAGAACTACTACTTCAATGAGAAACTAGTGTGAGCATTTCATTGTATGCACTAGTGAATATATGGTGAGGTCTGTTTACTCCTGAAAACTGCAAGATCTCCAATCCTAATTCTTATATTTTCACTGATGAACACTTAACTTGTGGTGAGTACCATGGCTGCACCAACTCACCATAACAAAAAGAATTTATTTAAAATCGAATGCACTATAATGAAGTAACATTGGTGTAAATTTGTTGATGTAATGATATTTTGAAAGAATACACTTGAATGTTTCTCCTGTTTGAATTTTCAGCATGTGGATGTTCACTGTTTGGGTCAGTGCGTGATGACTGTGAACAGATGACAGGACGATGTGTGTGCAAGCCAGGAATTCAGGGACAGAAATGTACAGTCTGTACTGGTCATAAGAAGATCCTGGGACCTACTGGTTGTGTTTCTGGTAAGCTTCACTTTGTCCATCTTGTAGTTCCCACTCATTGTCACCTGATTTATTTGGTATAACAAACGTATAAGAATTTTAGTTTTACGGAATGAATTGCAGAGATATAACAATGCTTGAACTTATGAGGTTGAGTTTTCAGAAACACTTCTATAAGTTGCATCATACCAATGGCAAGCACCTCAAAACTTGTGTTTGTGTGGATGTATGTTGTGTGTGTAGAGTGAAATTAAGGACAATATATGTTTCACAGCACAGCTGTGACATGGAGGTAAATTTGGCCATGGACTGGGAAATGAAGGAGTAGATAAGGGCAGTTGAATAAGATTATTTAAGAAGGTGTCCTTGGGTAAAGTTGTTCAAAATCAATTTGGATGCTGTTGAGAAAAGAAAAATCTTTTCGAGCCCTGTCACTATACCAACTGAGCTATCTCAGCTCCTTGTAGAAACAGAAAATGGAGTGGGAAGTAAACCATTATGGGATGTGAATGTTACTTCATCCGTGATGAGAAACCTAGAAAATAGAGCTCTGAGATGATATGGTCACATTGAATGGACGAAGGAGTGAAGACTATCATATCCAAAAATGTGTTGCACTAGTAACCATGAAGAAGATCTATATACTGATATACTGGATTTTTGGACTTTATCCATCGTCCTGGTTTTTAAGATAACTAATAAAAACATGACGTTTCGGAAACTGGATCTGTTTCCGTCCTCAGGTGAAGGAAAACACCTATTCTGTTGGGTCCGTTAGAAAGAGCTAGCCTCAATCACTGGACGATGGATAAAGTCCAAAAACCCAATATATCAGTGTATTATACACCATCGTCAGAATCCTGTAGTAAGATCTATATACTTTATACTTGCAGAACGAAATAAGTCCATTTTGGAATACTAAGATGTGGAAGATGGAGACTGTTAGAATGGGCTACTGTAGAGACTAAAGACAGCAACCCATGAAGAGATAATGCCAGGAAGAGAATCATATACATATATAGCCATAATAATTTTTGTTGGTCACATATTAAACTGTTGTAACAGCATATGTGATCCAGTTGGCCAAACTCTTCATTCATACAATACTGTTATCATTCCCTCTGATTTAGAATCTGGCTGTCGGACCAATAGCACTGATAGATTTAAAATCCCCCTTTAGGATGGATAAGTTCAACCAAGACTATAGCCATTATGGCAGTGCACATCTTCTAGTTAAGAATACATTGATAAGTGGCCATGAACAGTCAATGCTGAAAGTTACTGACACTTGGGTTTGGGTGTAGGATTAACTGCCCATAATTAAATTTTTACTTTTATGTGGATTCTCATGGTTGTGACCATGAAGGTTAATTTCTTGCTGGAATGTAGCTTCCTACATGATGGTACATATGAAAAACTATTTTACCCTGAAGATGGGGGCAGTAGATTCTTTCGAAACAGTGGTAAATATCACTCACAATACAAGGTATCACATCCCAGAAGATCTTCATACTTTGTTAAGAAACTGGATGCACATCCTCATAATTGGAAAGAGATACAATGAAACCAAAGTTGCGGTCGTCTTCACTACGACATTGTGTAGTCTGGTAGGTGAAACCAGTGTTTCAGAGGGACATACTGCCACGATTTTCAGGTTTAAAATTAGGCAAGATGGGAAAGTGACTGGTTGTACAGAAGAAGAAAGGAAGAGAAAATGTGTCATGGTGGATAGATTTGGTCAGAGTCATGAATATGTAAAGTAGGGAGGGGCCCAAGTGAAGCAGTGGGGACAGTAAACTCTGAAAAGGGTGACTGCTCCAGAAGAGGAGGAAGAAAGCATAACAAACAGCCCATTTTGCAGGTCACCTGACCAACTACACTATGCCATTATTATTGTGACATGTTGCGCAAAGGAGAACTCCCCCCACCAGCAGTGACGCGGCGGGTGAGTCAGCGCTCCCCTCCCCCTCCTCCACACAGTAACGTAAAGGTGACGCAACAGGATTGCGAGAGACGACGGTAGTAACAGCGGTTACTACCGCTAGCGTTGCTAGCAACACAGCGCCAGGCAACAAGGGTGCTTATTAAGTGGCCGTTTTCTGTATTGTCCGATCGAGGCTACATGAGGAGCAGCAAAGGCTATTCACAGTGAGTCCTCGAGCTACCTCCGAGTTAGTTCCGAGTTAGCCAGCTACTAGTCAGTTGT